ACAAGAAATGTATAAAATTACAGTACTGTATTAGACTTACGGTACCTAATTTACATACTGACAGACGATAGTTAGCGTAAAAATCTCCGTAGCGTGGCGCCACGCTAGACGGCGGAAATTATATATTTAATTATAACAAAGTTACAATAAGTTAATATATAATTATATATACAGTACCTAATTTATATATAATTAATATATAATTATATGTACAGTACCTAATTTATATATAATTTATATAATACTGTCCAGACGATAGAAATCTCTCCGTAGCGTGGCGCTACGGACGGCTGGAAAGTAGTTCGGCTGCCCGATGACGTTTGAGGTGTTTATAGGGAACTTTTACTATTTTTTACGGATACCGGTAGCAATTTTTTCGTAGTTTTATAGGAATCGTAATTATAGGGACCGTAATTATAGGGGGGTCGACTGTATACATATATTATTGACATATACAGTACTCCAATTCCAAAAATAAAAATAATGTCCAGTTACTTTATTGCAGAAAAAAACTATAACTGCTTTTGTTGCAGTAGCTGAGTATATTTGTGAATTTGCTGATTTTTTAAAACAAAAAAGAGCTGCTATAAAACATCAAACTAGTATCAAATGTAACTGGAATAATGCAATAAGATACACATATATACATACTCAGGATAGTAGAAACTAGAATAAATATAATGCATGGGAAAAAATTGAGTTGCTAAATGTAAATAGGAAAGAAAACAATCACATATATATTTATAAATCCTTTCATAAAAAATTAATAGTTTGTACAAAAATCTAAATTTTTTTAAGTTACATTACAGACTCTTAAAAGCACACATTTATGTGTTTATTTATATTTTTATGAATATATCCTCTGGCCAACTTTCAGTTTTTAAGATTTTATTTGGTCAGATTTCTTAGCAACAGCTGGGAATTTTTGAAATAACTGGCAAATGTCCATTGAAGATAGTTTCTATTTATAATTAAAATTTGAACACAATTGAAAACAAACTCAGTTTACAAAAATTCAATATATATGAGAATTTAACATATTTGTTTTACTAACAAAATTAATTATTATATTCATTTTAATCAGTTTATAAATTACTCCAAGTTGAAGATGTGTAGTCAAAAATAAAATCATCTAAGATTCCATATGTAAAATTTCATGTAATATTATATCACAGTGTCATTAAATTTAACAAATTAATGTGTGTGTAATGAATAAACTATAATGGAATAGCTGGTATTAAAATTGACTAATAATTTTAATTAATTTTGTAGTAATAAAAATTTTATTACTAAGAATATAATTTACATTTTTAAAATTTATATTTGTCAGCATTCTGGGAACAGAGAAGCTTGCATTCAGTTACTCAGCAAAGAAAATTTGAATTATATTTATCCTTCTACAGAAACCAACTTTCCAACTAGTCATTACTACAGTATGAATGTACATAGTAAATTACCAATTGCAAAAAATGGAAGTAATTTATATCTAAGAAATTCATTACTTCCCACACCCCCTAGTCATATCTATCCAAATTCTAAACCTAAAATAGGTCGGTGTAGCTTCAGTTATTTTTCTCCTGTCTCACCAGTGCCTTGCAACGATAATTCATCAAACAGACCAAGAGAAATACAATCGGCACCAACAATGCAAAGTGAGCAAAATCCATTTTTATCTGCGTATAATAACGAATGGTATTTCAATATAAACAGTGTTCATAATCCAGTCGTGTTTAATACTTCATCTTGTAAAAATACTTCTGATCAAAAGACAACTCAGAACATACAATCCAGATTAACAGTAAGTACACCGTCTAGAATCACTTCTAATATCATGGACAATCAAATGTCAAATCCTAATGTTACACAAGCTCGACATGTGACTACTCTAAAAATTAATCCTCAACCTGTTTATCTTATTGAAAAATATGGATACAATCCTAGTTCCTCCGTTTATACAAATATTATGCCTTCGGGAAGACACATGACATCAGTCAATCTTCAGTTACGACCACCATCTTCAGAAGCTCAGCCACCAATTGAAATTACAACTACACCCCTGAATTGCGTGATGAGTAAAAACAACGATAAAGATTTTAATTCACAAGTTCGGATATCAATTAATTCTACTGGTGCTACTTTAACTGCTATGAGAACACAAAAGAAACCACCAATTGCTTCTCCAACGGCCCATCACTCTGTATCCATGCAAAGGAATGTTACTCATATATCTACAGTTCCTACTTTTCCTTCAAATGCTAATGTTTTTAAAAACACTGAAGCCGGTGAATGTTATACAACTGAAAATTATACTGTAACATCACAGAATTGTTCACAATTTCAGCCTTTAAATACTGAAAATTTAATAAATATGCCAGAATCATGGAATTCTGCAAACCAGCCTGTATTGCCTTATCAGAATACATCGTCACATAATCAGCGAAGAAGGAATGCATATAATGAATTGGCTTATACTCAGGGTGAGTTTAAAATTTATATATAGTAATATAAATTTAATTTTTAAGATATTTATTAATTAAAATTATATTAATTGGTTGATAAATATTTGAATCAGCAAAATACACATTTTCATAATTTTAGCTTATTAAATGTATTAGTATTACAATATTTTGCATCATTATGTATTTTTTTATTTTAAATCAGTAAATCACATTTATATTTTAAATAATTCAAGAATAAATTTGAGACTTCTCAATCTATAAACACTTATTCCTGAAATATTTGCAAGTTTTCATTATTAGACATAAATATTAAATGATTTTTAAGAAATATTTACTTGTACAGTAAAATGACAAAATAATGTGAAGAAATGAACAAAGAAGTATGTAGTTTTAGCTGAATACTAAGTTTCCTGTATAAACTTTGAGTCAGTATTAAAATAATTAGATAAGTCTAAAAAATATTTTTCAGTATGTTTAACTGATCTGTTAAAAAGCTATTATTATAATCTCAACATTTTAAAAGTAAAATAAAAATCAGAATGTAAGCAGAATTGAATACAAATGTTTTATTAAATGGATAAAAATATTTTTATTTATATAAAGATTTATTTATTAAACCTATTTTCTATAAATTTGAATAATTTTGAATCATCATTATCCTGACTCTCCATCTAATGGATAACCCAATAGATGGTATCAGATGGTCTAGCACAGGGGTGTCCAGTCCGCATGCGGCCCAAGGCAAGTTCCAATGCGGCGAATAAAACGTGTAAACAAAACCGACAAATGTTTTTAATTTTATTTTTATTTGTTCATTTTAACAGCATAAACTCAAAAAAGAAGTTTCACGAAGCCGTAAACCTTTATACATATTTTATTTTTGAGTGGAAAGGAAATATTTTCAAATACTTTGAAATGTGTGAATAAGGAAGGGAAACTAAATAAAGCTAGAGTTGGGACTCAAAGGATTATAGACCCAAATTCAGGGAAATGAGAGAAAGGACAAAAGATAAAGTGAGGAAGGTTGGAAAATTAAGGGTGAATATTTACACAACAGAAGGTCTATTTAACCTTTCTCACTACTTTTTATCTTTTGGCCTTTCTCTCTTTTCCCCAATTTGGGTCTATAATCCTTTGAGTCACAACTCCAACTTTATTTAGTATTCCTTTTAGCATTGCAAGATTTGGCCACTTTGCACCAAATTTGGCTACCCATTTTTTTAGTTGGCATAAAAAATATCATTTGGCGCATTGGCTACTTTTGGGCTACATATTATTTATAAGTATATTAGTTGAATAAAAATACACTTTAATTAATAAAAAAGCAACAAAACACCATTTTAGAGCCCAAATAAAACTAATATTTGTCTTTCAAATAAATTTTTGTTTGTCTTCTTTATAATAAATTCATTTATCTATTTCTAAGTAAAAATTGAAAGTGTCTGTAGAAGTAAATTTTTAAAATATCCTTTTTCATGAAAAAGTTTTAATACTTATTACTATAATCTAGACATGTTAATCCTTAAATATACTTGTGGCCCAAAACTCCATGACTTCTTCCAATGTGACCCAGAGAAACAAAAATGTTGGGCACCCTTAATCTAGCAGGTCATTTGGTGGATCAGATATATTTTTAGAACTTCTTAGAAAAAAAAAGAAATTTTCTAAGTTTTTAAGTATCTTTTGTAAATGAAGCATTACATAAAATGGGACATTGCATATCTGCTGGAGAAGCCAAGGCATTCTTTCAATAAAGTTTTGCATGATATTTTTGCATAATTGAGGCTCTGATTTTTCAATAATGGCCTGAATGTTTTTAAGCTTTGGAATCATGTGTGGATTATTCACATTAAGTTCTTCCTTTCAGGGTGTGTGAAGAATAAACTGCATGATCATGGTGGGTGGTTGATACCACCTTTTTTTAATAAATCACATGTTCAGGAAACTTAATCTGAAAAAGGTATAGTTTTTCATCACTTTTGTGTGAAGTTGTACTCTCTTATTGAAAGTACACATCTTTACGACCAAAAGCCTCAATTTCTGGCCACAAAAATTTAGTTAACTAGCTACAATAATGAAGTCTATTTACTGTTAGTGTTTCTGGCAGCATTATAGTGGTATAATTCAATATGACTTTTGCAGCATGCAAACTGCATTAAACTGTGATTCTGCTTGCATTGGTTGTTCCTCAATGCTGTAGAAAGATAATTTTTTGAAATCTTGCATGTTCTGTAACTCTCAATTATTGAATATACAACATTGAAAACAATTCATTGACAGCATGTTTTGAGTCAACTGGATTTTGTAAGGATACACATGCAAATTTTTTTTAAAACTCTCTGCGATGTTGAATGTGGAAATTACAATTGTTGCAAATGTCTTCATTCTGTTGTCTTTCACAACACTTTCATGCACATGGTTCTTTGGAAGATAAACAAATATCCAATTCCTCTAAATTTTGTGATTAACTTTTGCATTTCTTTAGAACTGTGCATGCAACTCTTATCAAAAATAGCACAAGATTTTGTGTGTGTTGTTATTAAAGATTGCTGATTTTTGTAAAATGGTTCAACATGAGACCAGTCTCAGCATACCAGAATCCTGCCAAAAACTAGCAGACAAAAATCATATACAATTCTAGTACTACCTATTTGGACATTTTTGTTTAATTTAGTTCAACTTTTGAAATATTTCTCTCCATTCTTCTTCTTTATGGCTTTATTATGAGGATATAATTAATCAGTCTCATAGCCAGGAATAAATCATAGGGGGCTATAGTAGCAAGCTGAAAAAATTCTGACTGGTATTTTTCTCTTTTCCAACTAATAAAAGTAGCTTAACAGGACTAGTATGTTTTACATATGTAATGTAGCTAAGTTTACATGAAAGAATAAACATATATGTACATTTGATTCTGATGAAACTGTGTTGTTGTTATTAAGTTGTTTCTTTGCAGACACACTAAGATGACATATATCAAACACTTGGCAAATTATTGACTATTTATTCAGTTGGGACGCCTTTTACATTTCGCGTTTCGGGCATTGTCCCCTCTTCAGCCAACTAGACATAAAAAATAAGACATGAGAAAATTGTACAAAAATACGCGAGTAAACAACCCGTAGATAAAATGTTTTTTTAAAAAATTTTTAAAAACATACCATAAAGCACAAACCACTATTGTACAGATGTCGTACAGGATGGACAATTTCATATTCCATATACTACTTGGAGAACAAACAAGGTCGAGGATAACCATTTTTTGCTACTGGCTTCCAAATATGGTATTCTTATACTTTATGCAAAAAATCAAAATAAGTAAATCAAAAATTACAACATATTTTAACAATATTTGCTTTACCTGTAGCCAGTATTCGTATATTGCACCTAAACTCATACAATAACTGTTGACACTCTTTTTCCGAACAAGTTCCACTGAGTCATCTTAGCGATATTATTTGGACTTTCAATTCACATAGAACCTATTTAAGGCTATGACATTAGATTGTACAAACTACTAATTAATATTTGTAATACTTACAGTTTATATACACATCACAATTCGCACATCAACTGGAGAACAAACAGGGTCGTAGATGACAACTTGACTACTGGGCTTTTAAATATGGCTTTCTTATAATTTACACAAAATTCAAATAGATAGATTGAAAATTACAACATATCTTAACAATATTTGTTTTTACCTGTTGTTAATATTCGCATATTACACCGAAATTTATTCAATAGCAGTTGTCACCCTTTCTTTCCGAACAAAATTTCACAAAGTCATCTTAGCAATATTATCCAAACTGCCAATTTACATAGAACATACTTAAAGCAATTACATTAATTGTACAAACTAGTAATTATTATTTGTATTACTTACAATTCATAAAGACATACGATTTAAGTTGTAGCTTTTGGTTAAACCGCTCCTGTGTGCAATTCCCGTAACTACGCTATTTGGCAAACTAATTTACATATTTACTTGAGCTGATTTTTTGAACCGATTTCTGTATATAATAGAAGTTGGTATATAAACATGAATTATTATATTAAACTTAACAT